GTCGTAAAGGAGGTTTAATTTTTTTTTCTTGTAATGTTGATGACACATAATAAATGTAATTATTATTGTTGTGATGATTAAGAACTACAAGGAAATGTGTAGTTAATAATATTTTTTTTTTTTAGATGGGCGGTTTCAGTTAGCTCTCACTTCATCTGTCGATGACTCGACGGTTGTCATTATCCGAAATCATGTCCAGGCTGTGTTCACAAATGCAATTTAAAATGAAATTATAAAGCAATTTGTTTTAATGTATACTCTTTTATACCTTTGAAGAATTCAAAAGAATATTTGGAACAGATTCAAAAATAATGTAGATGGTTTGAAGGAAAACCTGAAATTATTTTACCTTATTTAAAATGTCATCTGAAATAGATATGTTCCTCATTTTTAGTATAATTTTCCTTTGATTTAAAGCCCACAATTTTATGACATTTTAGTTGAAAGTTCCCCCAGAAATTAATAAATGACGTTATTAAACGGTGGGCAATAATTCATTATTCCTTGTTTATAAATTGAAGTAATCTGGAAATCTTAGATGAAATATTGAGGTTGACATAAGTGACAAATTATACAGCGGAATTAACATTAATATTGAAATTTATTTTCCTAATGTAGATGAAATAGCAAAGTTTGACTTCTTTATATTGGATAGGGTCAGACTTACTGCTCATGTGCATTGCATTATAGATCGGTAAACCCTCGTTTGTGGTTAATTCCCCTTTTCTGGGTTTCCGCTAGACTTTTTTTTATTGCTTAACCCTGATATTGTCCACAGAACAAGCCCCTGCAATATGGAAAGGATGAAAAGAAATATATGTCATGACAAGGGATTTAAGTAGAAATGACAGCACGTCCACCTTGTTTCTTATGATTTGTTTTGCATACCTGTACATGAAAAGTGTTTGTAATGAAGTTACAGAAGTGACGATGTGATAGAAGAAACGAATGTAGATATCAAGAAAGAAATAAAGGAAGGAAGAGATTTATGTTTAATTAATTAAATGAAGGGAATAGTAATCCTATGAAACAAGTGCTTGAATATCAAGATGTCATTGCATTGGCGGATTTCCGGGGGTTGAACCCCCCCCCTTTATTTTTTGCCAAGTGGAGAAAGAGAGAGAAAGAAGGGGGATAAAACGTTTCCCGGGAATAAGTATTTGTACGTCAAACTTAAATATGTATTGAATAGATAGATTCTCACACATTTAGTTTTTCCATTGATCTCCAATATTACTATTTATGAGTGAATGGTAGAAAATATTCTACTTATTTTTATATATCTTATATATGATATGTACATGTAACATGCGAGGTTAAATTTGATATTAGAAAATTTGGCTGTGTTGGCTATATACAAGAAGGTGTTATTTTTTAACTAAATCTTGTGAAGGAACTAAAATTTAATTCATTGTTTTATATCCAACCCAAAAAGGATTTTCAAAGAAATAAGGACGTAAACATATTATTTTCCACAATCTTATACATGTGTGTGTGAATCTTTGCCTGAGAGTGTGTAAAGGGGGGGGGTTAGAGGGACACAACCCTGGAACCCCCCCTTTCAAAAATTTCTGGATCCGCCCCTGCATTGTGAATAGAGAAAGAAAGGAAGGAGCCTAGATTATTTTAATAAAAAGAAATAAAAAAATCGAATGTAATTAAAATGAGAAAGGGGGAGAGGGTAAGTGTATCAAAAAAAGGAATAATACCATGGAAACCACCTGACAAGCCCCAGGAAAGAAAGGTTAAAATGCTTATGCCCAACCCGAAAACCCTATATGGAGGATTATGTTCAGACTTCAGAACCAATATTGTTTTCTAAACACCGCCACTTTCCCCATTATAAGGTTCGGCTACAACATGTCTGTGGAAAATAGGGTTGGATAGAAAGTGGGTGGGGTGTTGGCTAAACCTGCTCATTCCGCCCCCCCCCCCCAACCCCCCGGCTCAGACGCCTATGTAATGTATTTGGAATAAATTTCATTCTCCTGATCTGATTTCATTCCTTGATTGTCCGTCATCCGTTTGAAATTCCGGATGATAAACCGCATTTGGTTCTGTCATTTGTATTATACCGGATCCGAATAACACCGTTTATGATGCCTGTTAAGAAGTAGTCCTCAGAAATATTAGATTTAATATAGATATAGTAACTTAAAATCTTATTTTATTCAAAATTACAGACATAACTGAAATGGCTTATAAGTTATAAGTGAAATCTTCTTGACCATGTACAGTATAGTGGTCCGAAAGGGAAAGTGTAGGGATATATAGTGACGTCATCCCAGCTGAGAGGGCGAAAAACCTGGCGGGAGTACGAGCATACATGAAAGGTTGAATGGATGAGTAGGTTTTGTTGGAAGTTATGTGGTAAGATAATGAAGTTAAGTCTGAGTTAATGGTTGTGTTTAAGTGTGTCAGTGAGTATGTTGAAACATAAAGTATTGGTAATATTTTTGTGTTCTCTCTTCTCGGCCCGGCTACCATATAGGACTCCTCCAAAGAAAGGCGCAGATGTTTGGGTGACATCTTTAACCATCTGTATTCGTGCTTTTAATGGATTCAAGGTGTCATATGCAAGTATTTTTCCACTGTTGCCAATAGTTAATTAGGGTATCTTTTTAGATTATGTTCCCACTGTAGATAGTAATACAGAAGAATTGTTCACCCAAGGTTAAAAGTGTATCTTATAGATCTATATCATCACTAATTCCTGTCAATAATTACCCTTAATTGAAATTTCTGAAACTACTCAGATATCTGAGTTGAAACTGTAAAGGTCAGTCAACATTTTATGTAGATTTTTAGAAACTGAACTTAACTTTATGCCTGCATTGATTTACGCCTTGTATGTGCTAGTAGTATTGAAATGATCTATTATACTTGAAAAAGTTGTTCAGTCAACTTTAGTTAGAATAATCTAACCGTGTCTCTGGACAAGCCCTCACCACAGTTTGAATGCCATGCAAATAATCGAAATGTAGCAAGAAATTGCATAACCGCCCCGAAAAGATTTTTAAGAAAAGCGAGGGATTTACACTGAATATAACTTCCAATTTAATCATAAGAAACCTTTTTGGAGCTGTGCAAGTATTTAAACCTAAAGTTTAGTGTAATTAAAGACCCAAATTCAAGTAATTGGCTCCAGGATTTTTCTAGCTTCAAATTTACACACCATGTTAATGTTCGGAACTCTCTTGATTGTTCATAGTAAATGCACTAGTCACACATGTTTACTTTGCTACACTGTGAATACATGGAACGCATTCCATCGTAAAACTGGGTTCGTAGGACATTTATCATTTTAACGATAGAACATTCTGTCTATGTCAACTTGTATACAAACCGACTCGTACACAAAATGAAAAATTCATGTCGTACACCAATAGGAGTGGTGAACTCGTACAGAAATCAGAAGTCAAGTCGTACACAAGACTAGTGTCATTCCTACATGGAATTTTCTTTTTGATTTAGGAATTTTTTCCCCATTGTAGAAATATATAGAATTCAACTCGTACACAAGGGCTTTTCTTGTACCTACTTAATCTGGAAATTTCACTTCTGGATATTGTTTTATGTAGTTATGATGGTAAATACGATCGAAGTACATCTTAATATATTGAAGGTTAATCGTATATATATAATTGTATACAATTTCCATAGAAATTGTCCAATTAAAAAGAGAAAGGTTAGAATAATTGAAAATTTTTCAGCGATTTTTTTTTTTGCAGCAATTGGGAATGGGTCCGATACCGGTTCAATTGGGAAAAATAACATCGAAGAAAAACAGGCGAATTTTCTCTCATTTATGCAAATGCAATGTATTTTGCGTTTATTATAACGAACTACCTATTACTCCTTGTCTTAAGAATAAGCAACAAGTACTTATTGTTTTTTATGCCAACGTCCCATGCTTTGACATTTTCATGCTTTCAGTTTGTCCAAATGTATGACACTACGCTGTCTAACCCACATGTCCCCCAAATGACGACTTTCTCTACTTTCTATTTAAGCGGAAGTCATTAATTAGTCAACTTGTACAATGTTTCATTTAACAAGAAATACGATGTTGTCGTACTCTTTTGCATTACAGTTGAATTGGGAATTTTTAGTCACAGAATTGGGAACAATTTATGTTTTTTTTTGGCATTGGGAATGGTGCCGTTTATCGGTACCAGTTATATAAGGAAAAGAAACCCTGTTTTTCCAACTAAATAAACACGTCTTTCGCACAATGACGAAGTTTAAGGAATGAGTAAAAATGGAGCGTTTTCCATACATACGATACGGTATCTCCTAATGAATCATATACCAAATGAAGAGCATTTTTCAATCTGTGTTTGTCACAGATCCAAGAAACCATTTCGTTTGTGTTAGTTAAACAATAATTGTTTGAATTCCTTACATGAGAAACTTGGATTGTTTAACATTGAATGTTAAACCATTGAAATAAATATGAAGAAAATATGAACACATTTCTTCGTCCTCATTCTATATTATTTAGGAAATGTAATGTAGAAGTAACATACAAGAATAATGAAGCACAATTGTAAATAAAAAATGTGTACGACTCGACTTTCAATTTGTGTATAAGTTAACTTTTTGTTTAGGACTCGGTTTGTGTACAAGTTCGTTTGTGTAATAGTTGACTGCCAACCTTCCACAGTTTGATGTAGTGTTCAGATATTAAGAAGGTATTAAATATAAATGTAGACCACATGACTGTGTCAACATGCAGTAGCCTTCCTGGGCAATGCCAAAAAAATGATGTATAAATCAGATGAAGGTGAAAACCTCAAATTTGTAAAGATTTATTTTTTGTAGAGTATAGGATGAGATATTAGAATTTTGATGAAGAAATTCTTGTCGTCAATCGCTTTTTGATGTGTAGGAGCTCTTTTATGCTACTTATAGATTTTGAAACAGAAGTAGTTGATTGTACAGAATTATCAATTGATATGTTTCCCATTACAACCCAATATCGAATTGAAAATTTCACAGATAATTTACCGTAGAGATTGTCATGAAGAAAGTGGTATAATGCTGTTGTAGGATGGCTGATTGGACAAGGAAAGAATTAAGAGAAATGGTATGTATGCTTTGAAATTAGACAGATTATGCAAATATGCATTCTTATGGAAGAAGGTGAATAAATGCTGAATCAATTGTACATTTTTTATTATACATCTCACTAATGGTTTGAGATTATTCAGAGTAAGGTATTATAAGTGTGAGAAATGGTATGCCCCCATCTTTAAAGAGACGGTATTTTGAATGTTGTGTCCTGTTTTTGCATTTGTCATTCTCTTGCAAGAATGGTATCCTTGCCAATGATGACTGATTGGTAGGAGCTAGGTATGTGAATGTATTTATGGCAGTCATTTGCACGTTGCCTTTTATAGTACTAACCTATTTGACCTCTTGACATTGATTATGAATTTTCCCTTAATTTTGGCCGAATCCACCCAACTGTGACATTGGCCCTGACTTTTGAACAATAATTCCTCATTCTTTCACTTCACATGGTATTCATGATACATGGATATGTATCATGACCCCTTCCATTAAAGAAGATATTTTGACATTGGTGTTTGATTGATGAAACCCGAAGATGAGCAGCTTTAATAATCATTCCTTAAGTTCTATGTTCGAGTCAAAGACCTCGTAAGGAAATACCATTTTATGATTTTGGCCACTGCTGACTGATGTTTGTCATATTACTGTTAGGCCTTAATTTTTAACACTGAAATGACGAGAGATTATTCCGTTATTTCCTCAGCATGACTTGGAGCACTTGGTGGATAACACTTGTTGGTAGGGGATGCTCACTCCTCCATGGCACCTGATCCCACCTTTGATGTTTTTAAGTTTTGTGTTTGCTGTGCTTTTAAATTATTTTGTTTTACAGACTTTGATATAATATAATATTTTTGATCTCCATATGCTTTATTCATTGTGATGTACTTGTAGGAAACTGATACATTGACCAATGTGGACTTGATGGTATTTTCTAGATCTTCAGGAGAAGGAGAACAGTGTAAGGAATTGTAAATAAGCAATTTTATACTGTAGTGCAAAAGTGTACTGGGAAACCTACATGCCTCTCAAAGTATTTTGAAATGCCCTTATAAAATTTTGTTAAAATTGAACAGTTGAAGAGAGGCATAAATTCATATCCCCATTTTAAAGGAAAGCAGCACATAGCAATACATTTCCCTCCAAAAAATCCTATCAGAACCCCTCAAACAAGTTATATATCTGCAAATGGCACAGCTGTTATTGAATCATTTATACTGGTCTTTGAAATGAATGTTTATGTAAAAATATTTACAGTAATGTTATCACCCAATAATGCCTATGTAGTGGGAAATGATTCAAAAGGACGTGTGGTGGTATTTAATCAGTATATTTTTTCAGATGAGGATTGTTCTAGAAATTCTAAGCTTGCCAATATAAGATCAGTCAGCGTGTACACCTATTATGACATTTTGGAGGAACTTGGCCGGTAAGTGGAATTGGTTAGTGCTTATTAGATATGGCAAGAAGTTACTTTTATAGCGTTGAGCTTTACCTTGGCACACATCTAGCTATGAGGAAAATCTCTGACTGTTCACCGCTTTCCTTATACGTTCAATAATATAGTAGTCGAACCAATACCTTTATTGTATCTGGCGTAGAGATATAATTGCCCCTTAGAGCGTTTATCCCAAAAATTACTTGAGAATCATACAATTGCAACAGTCCTAAACAAAGTTGCGAACTCACCCATTATCGTTGTTCAGGTTTTCAACCCTTAACCTGATTATTTTTCGCTCACCTCAACGCCTTAGGGGGAGGTTATGTAATACCCTTGGTGTCGGCGTCCAATGTTAAGCTTTTTTTTTTTCTTTTTTTTTTTGAGCTAGTATTACAAAACTTGCCTATTGTTAGGAGAAAGAAGCATTCATATGACATATGCTGATGTATTGTAGTGGTGCTTTTGGAGTAGTGCATCAGTGTGTAGAGAAGGACAGTGGGAGGAAGTATCTCGCCAGGTTTATCCGCACTCCTTACCCAGTTGATAAGGCCACGGTAAAGAATGAAATGAGGATAATGAGCCAACTTCATCACCCCAGTATTGTT